CGTAAGAAATGACATTTGGCACCCGTAGACTTGCAAGTCCCACAGTAGCGACCAGCAACGTGTAGGATAGTCAATCCAGTATATATCTATATGCAAACTCATATGCTCCCCAACTAAGGAGATTCTGGATACAAAAAATGATCATGGCAGGTAGTGCCATGACCCGTTTAATGGCTCACATAACTGAATGTAATGTATATGTAATGTATGTGCTAGCTATATTGTGTGTTCTTTCTCTGTCTAGCATGTATGTTTGTTTCTCATCACTATGTGTTATGTTTGTTTCTCATTACTCTGTATTATGCTTGTTTCTCATAACTATGTATTATGTTTGTTTCTCATCACTATGTATTATGTTGGTTTCTCATCACTATGTATTATGTTGGTTTCTCATCACTATGTATTATGACTCATGTATGAACTGACTCTTTGAATGATTCATTGTTCTAGTATTAGTTTTAGTAAAACCCTAAACTACACCAATTGTAGTTTACTAGTAATATAACTTGTACGTATGAACATGGGAGTATACCCCTGCTACTCAAGGTATTGAATTGACTGGAAGAACCTTTATGACTATATATGTACACATAATATATAACTAATAGTTAAATGACTTTCAGACGGATACCCGATATCCTACCAGACCACATCCCAAAGGGGAAAAGGAAATAAGGCGGGTTAGCCTTCTTAAGTCCTTCAAACATTACTTATATTACTATACATATCTAGGAATGCAATTTATAATATAAAAGTATAAAAGAAGTTTCGTAAAAGCATTTGATATGTAAAAGAGTTTGAAGTAAAACAGATCAGAAAAATAGTTTGAAAGTAAGAGATTCACTTGTTGATAGTTATTAATCAAATGTGATTGAGATAATAACTATCGTAAATTTACTTGTATTCCCCCCCCCCCCCCCCCATAAAAGTATTTATAAACATTTGAAAACATTTAAAAGGTTAATTTAGGGGTATGAACTCACCTGTAGTGAGTGGATTGGATTGAAGTGTAGATGTAGGATTGCTAGGTGTCAAGTGAAGTCGTGAACACACTCTATGATCCTATTTAACATATAATATCACATATATGTATCTAATTAGTGTTTAAACAACTAATAAACAAAGTTAAGACTCCTTAGTACATGCTAAACACCTTTTACAAGTGTTATAAGTCCCAAGGGTTGCATCTAAGTGTTGTAGGGAAAGGCTAGTGTGTTTGGGGTTCAAGGAAAACTCTATTAGGGAGTTTAAGGTTTTGTGGTTATTGCCAAAAGATTTTACGGTCGTAAACCCTTGGGTTTACGGTCGTATGCTCACCCACTTGATGACCATTTGATGTTTGAAGCCTTAAGAGTCCCTAGAAGCTTTTCTACTTGATGTATGTGACTAAGGAAGGAACTAGGGCACCATTTCACTCCTAATTGGAGTTTACAGTCCCTAAACCATTTTCCTTTGGGTTTAATACTGTAAACCTATAAGGTTTATTGTATTTGGGGGTTTTCAAGTCCTTAGCTCATCAAGGTAATAATTTAGGTTAGATTCTAGGCATAAGGAATAAATATGGGACATTTATACATTGTTTGGGGTGTTTACGGTTTTGGGAGATCCCCAAACCGTAAACACATAAAAATGAGTGACTTTGGTGCTTTTCATGGACTTATACACATCAAGGAAGGATCTAGACATGTCCCCAAGGCATTGTAAAGGACTAAGGCAGCTTAGGGCACTCTTTGGCACCTTACTTGGTGTTTACGGTTTTGGGAGCTTCCAAAACCGTGAACACCTTGTTCTTGGTGCTCTTGGGATATTTTCTTGATGTATGATAAGGTAATAAGTTGTTCAATACACTAGGGTTGGAGTACTTACTAGTTAGAAGCTGGAAAAGGTGCTAAGGGCCCAAGAGCACTAGTGTGTGCTCTTGGTGTTTTGGAAATCTAATCAAAACATAAAAATGGATGGATGAAAAGATGTGTAATAACTAGTTGTTATGTTATATCAACTAATCAAGTCGAGAAATACTTACGTTTTCGGGAAATCGGGCGAAAACCGGGATGATACTTGAAAGTGTTTGGAGTTTACTCTTGGGGTTGCAAATGAGAAGTGAAGTGTTTTGGGGAGTAAACTCATGCTTAAGCATGAGTTTATGGTTTTTGGGGTAATTTAAGTTCCAAACGTAAAAGTTTGGCCGTGAACTTCTAAGCTACGTGGTATTCACGGTTTTGAAATTTCAAGACTCGAGACGGCACATCCTTTCACCCGTTCGTTTAACGAATAATTATTATAATAGTCAAACGAAGTTTAAATTTGTTAAAAACAAATAGAAATGAAATTGACTTATAATATGAATTGATTGAGTTTTAGGGTTTGACCAAATGAAAATTTTGGGTTGTCACAATAAATATATATATATATATATATATATATATATATATATATATATATATATATATATATATATATATATATATATATATATATATATATATATATATATATATATATATATATATATATGAATTCACTTCATACTTGTATGTTGGAGCTAGTTCAATAACTCCTTTATTCCATCCATGGAAAACATGTCCCCTTTTCAGTTGATGCATATCTCATGTCACCATAAACTAAGATACTATGTCCTTTGACTTATAAAGTAATTATGAAATCGGAAAATTTTACAAATAATTTAACTAGTTGTATTGTATTTATTTCCAAAATTTACTTATGGCATGGAAGTTTTTGTGGTTGAACATGCTCTAGAACATACGAACAATGAATTCTTTTCAAGATCTGATATACATTCAAGTTGTGTCTCTCTTTATCCACATCCTTGAGTCCCAAGGTCAAATAAGAACAAACAAAGCATAAACTTGTTTAGTACAAAGACATGCTAATAGAAACCGATCCCTGAATTATAAACCAATAACTAGCTCTAAAATTATTAATATACCATCGGAAAAATCTTGGAGAGAAATTACCTTATTACCCATAAGCCCCACACCAAATGGCGAGTCTTTTAAGTTATTTATGTGCCTTGTTATATAGCATGTTATGAACTCAAACCGAGATGTATATGTCCACCATCTCCTTGCTAACAATTCGTACATACTTGATAATATTAAGAAGTAAATAATTTTGATTCTTAAAGAATCAAAAAGAAAAAAAAAAAAAAAAAGAAAGAAAAGAACGTTTACCTACCTATAATGCGAGTTTACTTGATCACTAAAAGGCGATGAACTACTACTTTATCTCTTTCTCTCTCTACTAGATGGAAGCTTGAAATAGGTGTCCACATCTTTCTTATTGTCGTGCTTACTTCGTTAGCTAGAATCAACAACATTAAAACAAACAATAAAATTTTAAAACCAACTGAATTTATACTTGAACTTTTATAGAAATAAAAAAAACCTCTGCATACTCGCATATAGCTGTGTTGCTGAATACTGAAACCCGAACTATTGTGAAGCTGCAACTGAAAGCAAAATGAACCAGTATTGAGAAGAATGGGAGAAATAGCCCCAAATAAACAATCAAAGGCCTGAAATAATCAAATTAAAATGGGAGAGGCAAGTTGAGGTTGGCGATTCAACTAGCAGGATCTGAATTTTTAAGATCTGAATTTTTAAGAGGTCTAAATTTCTAAAATGGTCTGAACTTTTAAGATTTGAATATTTAATATGGTGTTTGGTTGGAACCTCTAAATTTCTGTACTGAATTAAAAAAAACAACTGTTTACCCTCCATATTATTTTATACTGAATCCAATGTTTATTTTATAAAATAATTAAACCAATTCCTTCAATAGTTAAAAAAATATATAAACATTATACAAATTCAAAATCAAATATACAAAATTATACAAAAATCTAAATAAAAACATTTTGGATGACATTGTTATAACTAAATAGATTTTTTAAATACAATGCTCTAATTGGAAGATGTGAAAATATGATGTTATAATAAATAAATCAATAAAAGTACATTGCTATTTTCTCATTTACACATCACCACAAGTACAATAACCTTGTCTAATGATTATGTGTGTTCCAAATCACTGATATGTGGAAGCTTATTGAAAACATCCCTAATAAACCCATAAATCATTGCAGCCATGACACGTTCATTCAACAAAATGGAGGCATTTTCTTGCCTTCACAAAGCTTATTTCTTCCCTGTAAAACGGGAAAAATATTCATTCACGAAAAACTAAAAACAAGGCACCAAAAGTTCAATTCAACACTAAACACATGAGAAAATTCCACAAAATTAAACAATAAACATAAGAACATCTCATGGCAGATGCAAATTTGTAACCAATCATCATTACAATGGACTATTTATTCAGAGTTATCTCACCATAAACCAATTGTTCATTAAATTTCTTGCAATTATGAAGTAATTTTGGATACCTAATTGACCACTTTTTAAAAAGACAACCTATAATTAACTATTTATAACCAGTTTTTTGGAAAACAATGCAATTTCATCCAATAAAAAAATTTCAAATTTAAATTTGGTTGTCTATATGGTAAAATGGAGTATCTTTTTAACCAATCCTTTTATTTATTGATGTCAACCAAAAATCCGTTGACTATTAAATATATGTTTTGGAGGAAGCTTGATATTTCATTACCCTCTTTTTCCTAACTCTACCCCTCCAATCATGAGTTGTTTGGTAGTTGACTTTCAGTTAACTTTTTTTTGCAGCTTTTTTTTATTTCCAGGTTTTTTATCTAATAAATAAAAATATTACATGGAAAACATTAAATTCATATTTTTATGTGTATTCAACTTTTTCCTGTGTATCGATAATAATAATGTTTTGAAGACTGTGTTTTGTTTGTAAAAAGAGTAAATTTTTAGATTATGAACAAACTATAATTACATTGAAGATTGAACACTATTAATCCATTTAAAGAACCAATAAACCACAACATTTTATATAAACTGAAAATAAAACATTTAATCAGTATATTAACAATAATCATCAAAACATTTGTTCACCATCGGAACCAACTTCAATCAACAAACTACCACCGGCAACAACTAACCGGCAGTAACCAAAACATGTTGGAGATAGAAAGGGAGAAGGAAAAATTGAAACAAAGACCACCGGAACCACCATTTACCATTTCAACCATCGTTAACCACCATTCAATACCTTCTGAATATCTTAAACCATAAACCACCTTGAACCATTGTGACCGGATTGAGAAAAGTGAACCACTCATAATTTACGACAGAGACATAACGATATATCACCTAAAAGACAAAACGAGAGAAAGAGAGATTGTGAGAAACACGACTGCAACATTGCGAGAAAGACCGCCGACGAAGCGCCATACCAGTGGACGTTCACGAAGCATCAGACTGGTGGCTATGAACACCATCAAGTGACCTGAAAAAGTAAGAGAAGCTGCCTGAAATAGCCTACCATTTAATCAGAGAAGTCGTCGGAATCCGCCTCTTGTTGCCAGAAATCGCATCTGGTATGTTACTCCCTTCTTGGCGGCTGATTTAATATGTTAGGGTTTTGAGAAAGTAAGATTTTTATATTTTACAATTTTATATTTATAGTCCGTTAAATTAAAAATATTTCATTTTAACCTCTAGTTCTAAGTTTAAATAAATGCATATATTTTGTTTCAATTAAATAATTGCTTCATGTGGAAGCTTCTATTGACAAACTATAATTGGACGTATTATCTAATTAGTACTGCATTTTTTATTTCTTTATGTAAATAATTGCAAATATTTATTTATGTTAATACATTATTTTTTCAATTTAAAAAATATAGAATTATTTTATATAAAAGCTTATGGTTTTTGTATTTGTGCAACATTATATTAATATATCTATTGTGATTTTTGTATATAAATATATTTAAGTTTTTCGGAATCAACTTGTCCGCTCACGATGAAGATGTTTCTACTAAAAAATCGTTATTTTCCACCTATCAGGTTATATAATTATACTAGATTGTGATGTTTTGAAATATATATATATATATATATATATATATATATATATATATATATATATATATATATATATATTCTAAAACATATACAATTCAATTTCAAATGTTCAGATCTCCTGAGTAATTGTTTGAATGGACACAAAACACAGCACGATCTTTAGGATATGTCATTATCATAAAAAGATCAAAAGCATATGTGAACGGATTCGTGTATAAAGTCATACTTGCATGTGATCATAATGGAGAGTATAAAGCTACTGAACAAGTAGAGCATTTGGAAGTAGAAAAACTAATTGTAAATTTGAATTGCAAGGAAAGTATTCAAAAGTATTTTGGTCGATGGACACTAAGGGTAAAATGTGATGATCATAATTATGCACCTGCACAACATATGGAGGGTCATCCATTTGTATGATGGTTATCTGTTGATGAGAATTGTTTGGTGGCAAATTTAACAAGAAAGCATGTAGCGCCACGCCATATCTTGTCAACATTGAAGGAGCTAAACGAAAACAATGTGTCGGTAATTAAAACAATATATAATGCACAACAAAAGATTCGCATGTATGAGAAAGCAGGAAAAACTCTAATGCAGGTTCTTATGTCCATTTGCACAACAATAATTATATTTATGAGCTTACTACAGGTGCTTCAAATGAGTTGGAGAATTTATTTTTTGTTCATCCAACATCTTGGAAGATATGACGTGCATTTCCACATGTGTTGATAATAGATGCCACATACAAAACGAACAAATATAATATGCCGCTTGTTCAAATAGTTCACTCAAAAGACATTTTCTATAGGTTTTTCCTTTATACATAGAGAAAATCAGGGCAACTATACTTGGGTATTAAATTGTCTAAGGTCAACACTTGAGAATTGCATGCTCCCACATGTAATAATCACATATAGAGAGTTAGCACTCATCAATGCATGTGAAACAGTCTTTCTGGATGCTACTCGATTACTGTGTAGATGGCATATTGAGCAAAACATTTTGAAACATTGCAACAAAATTATCAAGTTGAAAAATGATCGGGAGTCCTTTAGAATGCAATGGATGTTACTAGTTGAGTCTCCAACATGGATGACAAACACGGAAAACTATGAACGACTTCAATAAATGTTCACAAATTATCCATGTAAGTTTGTTTGTTGACTATGTTTTAAATCAAAACCTTCATATTACTATTTATGTACTTATTTGTTAACTTATTTTATTCCACAGGTGCTTTGAGGTACGTAGAGGACACATGGTTAAATAAGTACAAAGAAATGTTTGGGTCGGTTTGGGTTGATCAACATCTAAATTTTGGAAACCGCACATCCAATAGAGTTGAGAGTGCACATTCCAAGTTAAAGAAATTTCTGGACTCCCCAAATTGTAATCTAGATATATTTGTGCAACATATTACTGAAATTGTGCAGCACAGGTAACTTCGATCAACGGAAGTTTTGAAAACAACAGATGTTATCGCTATAATAACCACAATTTGAAGTGCTTCCGGTTACTGCATGGTTTTGTTTCAAACGAAGCTTTAGTTATAATATTATGAGAGTTTCAAAGGTTGAATGATCTAAATTCAGATTCCTTGAATTGTGGTTGCAAACTTCATAACAATTGTGGGTTACCATGTGGTTGGATACTTTTTGTTTACTCGAATTCAGGTTTGCACATTCAGCTACCACATACAGATAACTTTTTAAAATGTTATATAAATAATTATTTTATATTTCAATGTAGGTGGAGATATACCATTGGATTTAATAGATATCTTTTGGAGGAAGCTTGATATTTCAGATACGACACCTATAGTAGATGACAATATTTTGTATGATGATATAGTTGAAAAGTTTAAAGAAAGCATCAAGAAGCAATCAAAAGCCGGAAAACAATGAAGACCGGTTGCTGTATATTCGAAAACAATTGCTTGAAGAGTTAGAAAGTCAATATTACGCATATCATAGAGTTTTTACTGACGGGTTCAACGAAGTATACGAATCATTGCGTTGGTTTGAAAAACCTGCACTTTCTCAATATTGGTTTCATATGCCTTTGACTGGTTACCTGATTTCCAACAAATTTGGTGTGATCGTTCATTATTTAAGCCACGAACAATTTACGACATGCTTCCCTCTTTGGAAAGGTCCCGATGAGTTTCAACCCCACCGAGCCATTACATGGCATTTATTAATGGCATCCATTATATGTCGGTGTTTTTGAAAGAAAATTACCCAATGCCTCCTACCACAATGTATTGGAATGCCCATAGAAGTCCGTCAACATCTACATGGGAAATTATGTATTGGTCTCGTTTTGAATCATACAATCAACTACACAATCAACTTAGGCCTCGTAGCTCTGTAGCACCTTGGATACATATCGATTAAGTGCGAATGTATTTGAACTTTTTTGTCATCTGTTGAAATATTATTTTATTATTGTCGTGTGTTAAATATAATTCTTTTATATAAAATAATTTTATTAGATGCATATAAATAATATATAACAAATGTTTATATTTTATAAATTTAAAATATAAAAACATTTTATTAAATAGATTAAATATTTTTCATACAAATAATATATGTAATGCATATAAAAATTATCAAGTGTTAAATACAATTCTTTTATATAAAATAATTTTATTAGATGCATATAAATAATATATAACAAACATTTTTTTGTTTTATAAATTTAAAATATAAAAACATTTTATTAAATAGATTAAATAGTTTGCATACAAATAATATATATTTATATATACAAATAATATATATTTATATATGAAATAATTACCAAAAAGATAAATTATTAATTAATATAATGATTAAGGTGGTATTAGTAGAAAGCAAAAAGAGATACACATAGCCTATGCCTTTGTAGTAATGTTATTTGAAGAAAGTTCTATTTATTAGATTACCACAAGAGGTAGAACACGTTTTACTCAATTACAATATTGCATATCTGCATGAAATTCGTAAAACAGCAACGTCAAGTTCATATCGTACTCAATTTACTAACGTGAAATTCATATCATATTATCTATAAAATCATGAACCAGACAACCAACCGAAGAAAACGACGAACCACCCTCAGTAACCGCAGCCCTGCTTATTTTGCTCATCTCTTTCACTTTTTCTCTCAACTCCTTATCCTCCATAACCCGCCTTATCCCTCTCTCAACATCATTCGCCATAAGAATGGCCATATCATCTTCAGGATTAAACACATTGTTCTTATAGTCTAACTTAATCTCTACAGCTAATCCAAGCTCTATCGTCATTTCAAACGCATTCATCTGTTGTTCGGCATACATTGGCCATGTCGCCGTTGGTACACCAAACCACAAACTTTCCAGCATCGAGTTCCACCCACAGTGAGTGACGAATCCTCCAACTGCTTCATGAGCCAACAATGACACCTGTGGAGCCCAACCAATCACTTTCCCTTTTCCCTTAGTACGCTCCAAGAAACCATCCGGCAACACCACTCCTGGATCTTCATAATCACCGGGGAGTACTTCAAATGATTTACCCATTTGAGGAGGTCGACGCAAAGACCAAACAAAACGATGGCCACTTTGCTCCAAAGCGTATGCTATCTCCTTCACTTGAACCTCCTTAAAACATCCCATACTCCCGAAACACAACAACACCACCGAGGAAGGTGGCTGATCATTCAACCAACCGAAGACATCACTGTCGTGTTCTTTTCCGGCAACACCATGTAGATTCAGTATAGGCCCAACCGGATACACAGGTGGGAAGCTACTCTCCGAAGACAAAGACTTGATTGCATGTGTTTCCAACTCCAAGAAAGTGTTAACAATGATAGCTTTAGCCTCTCTCAATTTCCGAACAGAATGCATCAGAAAGTCTAGACCTTCTTGAGTTTGGTACACCACCGGGAAAACATTCGTCGGAACTGGTTTCACGAAGGTTGGAATGAGCATCTCGCCATCTGAGTTGCTCAACTCGAAAACATCTTGGTTTTGAACCACTAGGGTCTCGATGTACAACTTAAAGCCAAGAAAAGCTGCGTTTGATGTGAAGAATACGTAGCTTGGGACATTAAACTCATTCGCCACATCTATCATGCCAGTGCAGAATATATCGAGCACAAACCCGACCACCGGATTGGAATCGGGTCGACTTATCATGTCAGCAACGACATTTCTGACATGTTTGGAATGACTATTGATGAACTCATAGAAAGAAGTCATGGGTGCTTTGGGGTCAAGCTTTGGTAAGGTTTCATCTTGTGGGAGTTCAATGAAGACTATTCGTTCTATAGCCTTATTATGTAACGATTTGATGTAGGTTGTGAGAGCAAAAGCAGAATAAGGAGGGTTTATTAGAAGAACGGTTATGGAGAGCCTTTCATCATGATTGATGAATACTTTTGCCATCTCAATGGTGGACATTATGTGACCAACCCCTGGAACAGGGATGAAGACGAGTTGTGCTACTGTATTCGCCATGAATGATGGGTTTGAAGCTTTTGCTCTGTTTTAGTATTCGTAGGGATAAGATTTATAGTCGATAGATAATCTCAGTTGATTTAATGTCATTGCGTTGCGCTCGTTTCTGGCCCTACTTGGAATCTTATGGCTTGGGGACCAAGTATGTTGGCAAATTTGACTTGTATTTGTAAAATTATTGCTCTAACTAGCCTTCTAATATTTAATAAAAGAGTGACATGTGTAAACTTGCCAAATGGCAAAAGCAGTTAGATTTAAAATTCAACAATAATGTATTTATAATCTTTTTCATCGTATTGTGTAAAGACATTTCCTAGTTAAATATAATTAGTTTTAGTACAAGATAAATAGAATAAAATATATGTTGATGGTCAAGTAAACCTTGCGCAAAACGTTTTGGCGTGTCTAAAAGTTATACTAATTTACCCGTTATTCATTCCCAGTTGAATCATCTATGTTGAATCATTATTACAAGAGCATCCTGATAATAAATAGTGAATTCAATAAGATTGTTAAATATGGTGACAAGTCTAATTTATTCAGAGAATAGTAAATTCAATAAGATTGTTAAATGTGGTGATAAGTCTAATTTCATTCGGATTTAATCTTAGAAAAAAAACTTCATCTTAAATATATACTATAAATTAGCTTTCGTAACTTTTTATTGAACTCTCTAGAGTTTAATGTATTTTAGAAAAAAAATTAATAATGTTCTATAGAATATAGAAAATGATGTTATAATCCGTTGAACTTTATAGAATTAAATGCATTGTGAATGCTCTTATTTGAAAACCGAGTCCTATAATATTTATAAATAATTCATTTATAACATATAAAAAGTGGTATTAATATTTTATTGGAAGATACGGGAGTAGTATAATTTTATTCCAAGATAATATTATGTGTCGTAAGACATGAACTTGATCACCAAGAAATCACCACGTGAAAAGCCGTAGGTTACTAAACTAATCTATATGCATCCATTAATTTATATGTATTTTTTAAGG